CTTTCATTGCTTTTCCCAGAGTTCTTTAGTTCCTCCATTAATTCTTTGATCTCCTGCATTTCTCTTACTTCCCTCTTTAGGGACTCAATTTCCTTCTTCTGATCTATCACTTTTTTAATCATGGCAATTTTAAATTCTCTTTCTGGAAGGCTCAGAAGTTCTTCCAAGTTGCTGTCGTTGCAATCTGGGGAGTGGTTTTCTTTTTGTGGTGTGCTTCTTTCCTGAGGAGTTTTTAGGTTGCGTGTGGTTCTTCTACTCCCTACTGTCTGTTTTCTAATTTGTCGTATGCGTTGGGACACTGTGTTGCTCGGACTGACTGACATCTTGGGTGAACTTCTCCGCTCCCCTCTGGCTCTTCCAGGAGCCATCTCTGTCTTCTGGGGGAGCTTTCTGCTGGTTTTAGGCAGTTTTTACTGAAGAAATGTCCCTGTTCTCAAATGGCGAAGCGGGATACAGTCCCTGCGCCTCCGGTTTCAGGCACACTCTTCTGCGTACCCAGTCTGCCCCAGACGTGGGTGCCTGCTCCCTCTGTGGGCTCAGACTGCTGGTCGGAAGGGGCCTGGCGTGGAATAACTTCCCGGCTGGCCACTGGGTCCTCCAGAAACCTTCTGCCCTTTTCAAGCAGTCTTAAGAAATGTCCTGTTTTATAGGGTGTTAGTGACTTTTTTTTTTTTTCCTTTTTTTCCTGGTCGCTAGGTGGCGCCAGAGATCTCTCCTATTGTCCTTGGGGGGCTGTTTTTCGCCTCCCCCCGCCCCGTGGGACAGAGAACAGAGCGGGAATGGTAGGGTACACCTCAACAGCTTTGGGGTGCTGTGTCTGCCTTGTGCCCCACCGTCGTGGAGAAACCACGCCCCGAATTTTCGTGCCCCGGGTCTCAGTTCAAAGCCCTCAGTTCCAGGACGCCGGCTGTAGCCCAGTTCAGTGGCGCGGGAATGGCGCCTTTTGCACCCGGCTCCCGTGCCTGGGCGCCTGGTTCCTGCTCACTCAGGGAGGGACCTTCACCTCAGTGAGGACCTCCGCGCGTCTCCCCGCAAGCCTAGGTCGCAGGCGCGGGGACCTGGGCAGCCGCGATCCAGGTCTGCACTTGCTTTTCAAGCTCCCTGAGCGCGCCGCGTTTCCTGCGCCAGCTTACCGGCAGCCCGGGCTGTGTGCGTGTCTCCCGGGGTCTTTGTTCTTCTCTAATGGCGCCCGGAGCCGTTCGCTCACTGCCGCGGCGGATCCTGCAGGGTTCGCCTCAGCTCCCGTTCACGGGGTGTGGTGGCTGCAATAGTTCCTTTCCACTCACAGTCCCGCTTGCTGCGTCGTTTGTTCTTGTGGGCTGTTTTGGTTTGTTGTTTCCTCCTCTCTGCGGGTAGGAGAGTGCCGCCTCTGTGGGCGGGGGAGGGGAGCAGGGTTCTGCGCTTCCCTCCCTTCTAGTCCTCTTTTATGGCCACTTTCTTCTTCGGGCAGTTCGCTGGCGTCACCCGTTTATCTTCCGTGTCCCGGTTCTCACTGGGACCTGCCGCTTTTCCTCCCTATTCACTTTTTTTAGTGGGAGATCTTACTCGCAGTGTCTCCTCGCCGCCATGTTGCTCCGCCCCCCCCCTTACCTTATATTTCTAATGTAGTTCTTCCCCCCAAACTGTTAAAGACATAAGGACAAACACCTATATATTTTCCGGGTGAAACTGAGAGAAGCTTGAAATTAAGTTCTGTTTTGCTTAGCTTACACCCAACCCCACACTATCCTCAAGTGTGCCTTGCCCATTATATACACTCCATGTGCACTGAGTACAGTGAATTCAATTGAAGTCACTCTTTGTGCTTCACACAAAAATCTTTTCTTGATATAGTCTAAAAATGAACACAAATAACATTCATTTATGTAGAAATGGTCAAATTAACGCCTCCTATAACATTGAGCAAATGTAGACTTCTGAAATCTCTTTAGTAAGATTATATAGTTTGGGCCTCCCTGGTGGCACAAGGGGTTAAGCACCGCACTATGAAGCAATCTGCAGCCTCTGCACACAAGTTCGATCCCCGGCTGGCCAAGGAGCTACCCACATGGCGCAGCAGACCTCTCCTGTCTCGCCCGCTGCTCCCCTCAGCAGTGTACTTGGTCAACCTGCCTGCTCTATTCACCACTCTGTCTCTGGTGAATCCTCTAATCCCCCACACCTCTGGCCTGTACCCCTGTTCTTGTATGCATAAATAAATCTTTTAAAAAAAAGATTACATAATTGGACAGCAAACGATTAACAAACCCTAGAAATCTAACTGTGGAATTGAGGCTACAAGTCAAGGAGGGTGACGGAGCACAATGGACTATAGTGGAAACTATGGGTGCCTTTGTGATGGGTGTGGTGTGGTGACATGCCTTTTAGGAGAAGTGACCCTAGGCCTCTGATTCATATAAGGTGTTTTAAACCAATGTTACCTCAATAAAAATAAAATAAAAAAAAAAAAAAAAAACACATAGCTGGTTGTCAGGAGGATTGAATACCTGACCTCTAAGTTTATCCCCCCAGTGATGTCATTAGATCAACAATATTTTTTCAAAGCATTTTCACACCTATGAAAAATTTTTAAGGTGGTAATGACTTCATTAATCAAGTTTGCATTTTTACCTACAGTTTCTTATCTCATGTTTGCTTAGGAAACTTAACTGAAAGCTAGGTTTTTTTTTTTAAATATTTATTTTATTTATATAAGAATTGGGGTATAGGCCAGATGTGTGGGAGGGTGAGAGGATTCACCAGAGACAGAGCGGGGAACAGAACAGGCAGACTGACCAAAGACACTGCTGAGGGGAGCAGTGGGCGAGACAGGAGAGGCCTGCTCACCATGTGGGTTGCTCTGAGGCCAGTGGGGATTGAACTGGCACTGTAGAGGCTGCGGACAGCTTCACAGTGCTGCGCTCCACTGCCTGCACCACCAGGGAGGTCCCTGAAAGCTAGTCTTACTTCACTATATCTTTGTCTTTGAGAGTTGATTTTGATTTCTTTTACACCTTATATTAAAATAGAATACTGAGCTCCTATTAATCAAGAGGGACATTGAGAAAGACGATATAATGTACCTATAATAATAATTAAAAAAAATGCAGTGTAGGTCGCATATAGAATTTGCTTTAGGGAAGGAAAGCCCAAAGTGGGTATGAAGAGAAAAAGGATTTCACACTCCCCTATGGAGAAGTATAAGAAAAGAACCACAGTTGCCATGGAAGCAAAAGCTCAGAAAGAATGACCAAATTCTTTTAGTAGCTGCCTCTGTTTTTTTGCCATTTTTCTTCAGACAGTTGCAGGTCCCAGAGTAAATGATTGCATGGCCTGTAAATTTGTGAAAGAATCGGAATGTTCTGCTGTTTCTTATCTTCTCTATAAGAAGTGAATGTAGAACAGGTACGGGAAAGGGAGTAGAAAATTCCCTTTGAAAGTTACAAATTAGTCTGATCCTGAGCTAAGTTCATATTCCTTAGAATGAGAAACCCCATTTCTTCCCCACATCTTCCAAGTAAGATGAAGAGCATCTGACAGAAACCAAATAGTTCTCAGCATAATCTTCCAAAGAAGATTGCCAGAAATTTTGGATTCAGATTTAATTTTTTTTTTTTTTTTGGTAGTAGTTTTCTTTCCTTGTGATTAAATTTTGTCTTAATTATTTAAGAGGGATTTTTGTCTCTGTACTTTTGGACCTCTGCTAATGTTATCAGATGTTGTTGAACTCTGAAAATATCTGACAGATTTCTAGAGTTTTAAATCATTTCCCAAATTGTTTTAGTGTTAGGAGGTAAATGACCCACAAGATGAAAAATTGATATCAATATTTATTTTTAAAATAACCGTCTTATTATCAGAAGTAATTTTCTGACATGCCTTTTTTTAAATGCTCTTAGCAGTTTTAAATCAGTATGGTTAACTACAGGTCAAGATTGGAGGAAAAGATGCAGTGGGAAAGTCTATAAACTGTTTGTTCTATTTGTCTTTAAGAAATTATTCAGTGCAGAGCTCAGGACATCTTTATCTGGTTTATAGCACTTCAAAGATGATTTGTCTGTCCATCTCTCCAGTCCTTTCAAAAAAAAATCATATTTCACTCTGTCTGAAACTGAAGGAGTGTTCCTCAGGAAGGGTGTAATTAAAAACAAAAGGTTGGGATGGGGTTTGTTTCTGGTATCATTTATTTTGTCTTTAAGTGGGCTTTTCAAACAAAATATTTCATATAATAATAATCTATATAATTTATGAAGGTCTTAATTGAAAGATCTAAAAGAAATAATTAGACTGGAATTGCAACCATCCTCATGTATATGAATAAAACTTATCTATATAGTGACTTCAATCTAAAACTTGAAAAACAATTAGCCTTTAATTACCTGGCCCTTGGATCCCCTCCTTTCATCCGAGCTTGAACTTTCTTTTGTGAAAAAGGAAGTTTGGATGATGTGATTTCTAAAGACTGTATCTAATGGAGCTGAAGAAAAAAGAAAAAGGATACTTAGGATCTTTGATAAATAGAATGAACAAGGCAGAAGCTTTGGCTGAGGTAGATCTGGCTTTGAACCTCTGATATAATTATTTATATGAAGTTAGATTTCATTGCACTCAGCTACAAAGTGGGACTAATAAGAGCTATATTGAGAACACAAATGTTTATAATGTTCCCAGTACAACTGGTGTATGCATTTTATGATCCTATAAATGGGAAGACCATATTTTAAGGTGAAGAAAAACATAAGGCCGAGTACATGGTCAGATCTAGTGATTTCCACGCTGACACTATGCTGTACCAGCAGAGACATCCCTCTGCTGTGATGAAACTGGAGCCTTCAGGGTTTAAAAAAAGAACAGCATCAAGGGCAAGGCATCATATCTTGGCAAGAAATGTTTAACACAGTTTCCACCGTCACCAAGCTCTCCGCCTACATTCTACACCCTGCTTCTATTTAAGTCCCAGGCACTCCACTGGCCCATACTAAGCTGGTGCCCAGGCTATCAGCAGAGACAAGAAGGGTAGCATGGCTCCAGGAGAAAAGGAACGAGAGGGGCCAGCCAAGAGTACCCTCCGGAAGATCCGCACAGCCACCTTGGTGATCAGCTTGGCCAGAGGCTGGCAGCAGTGGGCAAATGAGAACAATACCAGGCAAGCCCAGGAACCTGCCGGCTGGCTTCCTGGAGGGACCCAGGACCCACCCCCAGCTCCTAAACCAGTGACACACCCCACTCCCGACCAGAAAGCTCAGAGGGTCCCCACACCTGCCTCTCAAGCACCAGAAGGATGTGGAGATGGACAAAACCCAGAGGACATCACTGAGGTCCCCCATATCAAAAGGAAAGAAGTAACAAAAACGGTTGTCAGCAAAGCTTATGAGAGAGGAGGGGACATGACCAACCTCAGTCACAGATATGAGAAGGACAGTGGCACGCCTGACCCCGAGCAGCCAGAGAATGACATTGACAGACTCCTCCACAGCCGTGGCTCCCCAACACGGAGGAGAAAATGTGCCAACCTGGTATCTGAACTCACCAAAGGCTGGAAAGAGATGGAGCAGGATGAGCCCAACTGGAGGAGCGACAGCATCGACACAGAAGACAGTGGCTATGGTGGGGAGGCGGAGGAAAGGCCCGAGCAGGATGGAGAGCAGGTGGCCACTGCCAGAATCAAACGTCCCCTGCCCTCCCAGTAAGTGATTGCTTCCTTCAGTTCCTCATCCTGCTGTGAGCCCCAAAGAGCCCAGGGACTTGGAGAGTAGCAAAGAGTTGCCGAAGTTAGAGTGAGAATCTCAAAGATTGGGCGGGCAGAGAGATCCTGGGGTCAGGGGAGGCATGGCCCTGGGTTAAAAGGGTGGTGCCAAGTCCAGATGTGGACCTATGGTCTAGGACTTGACCTATTTTCTCTTTTGAACTGAGCACTTAAAGGTTAGCTTCAGCAAAGATGAAACCACCAGAGAGGGGTGTTCATTTTGGGTAAATACTTTGAGTCAATTCTATAAAAAATATAATTGTTCATTTCCCTGCAGAGCAAAGTGTTTACTGGTAAACTGACAGAAAAAAAATTTTTCCTTGTCCCAAAACAGTCTATAATATGAGAAAACACATTCACCCAAAGAGTGTCTGTAAACAGGTGAGAAGCTGCTATTTAACTTTTGAGAGCAGACACTAAAGTCAGACAGATCCAAGTTCAAATTTCAGCTTTGCCCTGACTGTGATTAACAATCTGGTATCATCCACTTCAAAGTTGCTAAGATGGTAGATCTTAAATTATCAAACCAAAGAAACAAAACAAAAATCTGGTTCTTTTTCTAAGCCTGTTCCCTCCTTTGCAAAATGACAGCACAGTAACCTTTTGAGATAAATTCCATTACATGGAGACAAGTCAGATTAAAGCTTCCATGCACTTAGCACAATCCTAGCCCTTTATGTCCAATGTAGAAAAACTATTATTATTTACATAGATTCTACTGTTCAGCAATTTTTTAAACCTTAGAAAGAAATTCCTACTCATAGACAAAGAGAGAAATCCTACTAAAGCTAAATAATTGTAATATCACAATCCTAAGACATTTATGTATTAAACATACAGACACATGCTGACTTGAACTGTTACAGCAACTCTACCTGCTCCTAGTAGAAAGTCAGGATATATTAATCTACAACCACAGGGTATCAAAATATGGGGAAAGCTCTGATGTGATGAGTGGTTATAAACTGATTCCCTCTGGGAACAGTTAGATGTGTAGGTGTGCTTCTCAAGTTTTATGAAACAATCAGAAAGCAAAGAACAAAATTGGTTACCTAATTTGACAAAGAGCTGTCTTATATCTTATGTCTTTAAATGTTTTGAAAGAACTAGAACTACTACAAAGATGAAAAATGAAATGGCAAACATGTCACTATAAGAATCTCTCATGCATTTAGTGTGTGCTATGAGCCTTTGACAAGCTCTGTTCTTGTAATTTGCACAATACTATGAGGTCAGTATTATCCCATTTTAGGCATGAGACCACCCCCCCTCAAAAGCTCAGAGGGGAAGTTTATCCAGCAAGTTAGTGACAAAGGTGAGTCACGCCCAAAATTTTGAAATTGGACAAGGTGCTACCTCTCATCTGATGCCTTGAGGATGTGCTCACAGTCTGGATAGTGCTTCTGTTTTCATTACTTCAGGAATTCATGGTCAAAAATAGCTATTATGCCAGAACATGGAGAACTATAGCCTAACTTCTGGCCTTGTGGATTTTGGCATGTGTGTGTGAAATGGAATAACAAAACCCAAAAGAATAAAGACTGAGGATGGCACCATGAATATCTTATTAGAACATTTTGAATTGAGCTGAGGCAGAGAGATCACAGTTGAGACCTCTCTCAAATTTATGCACTCTTCTTTGGCACTTGTCAAAGCATGTTTCATGTGATTATTCATATAATCACCACAGCATTGTCATGAGGTAGGTATAATCATTACCCCCATTTGATACACGGGAACATGAGAAAAAGAAGTACTAGGGAATTATACAGCCCACAGTACTTGAACCCAGCATTCTGGTTCTCAAGTCCACCCTTTTGACCCCCACTCTGAACAATCTCACGGAAAAGTGGGGATTGTACAGGGTTCTTCTCAGGGTTTCTGAGATCAGGCATGTACATGAACACTTTACTCTGTGACGGAGAGATCAATGCATCAGCTTTGAATGAGAGATGGATTTGAATCACGATTATTCTTGCGAATTCTAAGTCTCTTTGCCCTCATCTAAAAAAAATATAGATATTATAATTCATAATTATTTAAATATTAATAATGGAAAACAATGGACTAGAGGAGCTACTTAATAGATTTTACCCATTATAATGCTTTGGTGATCCAAACCTTTCACGATGCCAGGAGCTTGGCTCTCAGGTTTGGCCCAGGGAATGTGGGAATTAAATTGCTTCTTCCTTAGTTACTTTCCCTTGGTCTTAGAGTACAGAGGGTACCAGAATGTTGTACACAGCAAGAGCAGTTCTTAATGTCAGCAGTAATCCTAGCTGTGCTCACGAAGCTTCAGCTGAAGCCTAATGGCACCTTTTGCCTGATGGGATTCTCAAATACTGCTTGAGAAATGAATGTGACTTTGTTCAGGAAGTACATTGAAAGGAGTTTTTGTTCACTTATAGGGCAGAATCACAGTAGATACTCAGAATACAAAAAGTATGAGTTAATGGATTATACTATTCCATTTTCTTTCTTCCAATATGTTTCAATTTTTTTCTTTACCAAAATGTCCCAGCCTCAAATCTGGTATGAGCTTTGGGGTCTGCTGGGATGGCCTTGTCTTTGTTTTGAAGCCTGTGCCTGTCACTGATTGCCATGGGGCCAAGATGTTTGTTCTCCTTTGCAAATGAGATCAATAGTCTCAGCAGCTGAACACTGAACAGGGACAGTGCATGGAGAGGCACAGACCAGTAGGCAAGAGAAATCTGTTCCACTGCAATGTGGTGTAATTCTTACTACTTTTCCATACATACATGAACTTTCATAGTTGTAATATTTATGTATTTAGTTTTGCATGGTACTTTGTCCCAATTAACTTTGTCATATACTTTTTTCCATGTGGCTATAAAGAATAGTAGTGTTATATGTAGCAGTAAATTCCAAGTTTGAGTTCTATTTGATAGTGAAACTGAATGCAGCAAGCTTAGACCTTTTCGAAACACAAAATGAGGGAATTAATGAACGTTCGCCATCTAGTGGATGTCTTTCCTCTTGTGAAAACAATACTAATACCTCTATGAAGGACTTCCTAATAACGTCTGTTATTTTCCAGCATTTGGATAACCACATTTCATGAAGTGAGTTTGGATAGTGAGGAATCTGACCCTTTCCCTGTTTTCAGTAACAAATTTTGAGAGGGGATAGGAGTGACTTAGGCCACACATGCTAGTCACATAAGCAACTTCAGCTCTGCTTTAGTGTCCAATTCCAACGTTTCTAGGCATGAGGCCCCCAGGTGTAGGGAAGTAGGGTGGTTGTGAGGGTATGGAGTATGAATCTCTGACTGCTAGATTGTCTGTGAGTGTTTTACTCATGAAGGCAGAGAAAACAAGGCAAGAGAAATCTAGGGGATTGGAGATACAGAATAGGGAAGTCCTTTAACAAGAGTTGCCTATTTAAAAATTAGGCTGGCCCCCTCATGACATTTTGTTTACACTTTCCAATGCTAGTTTTATATATGAAAAATGCATTCCAAGTTGCAAGGATAAACATACACACACACACTTCAAACACCACTCATCCCTTTATCATATGTGGTACTTGAAGCTGAGCAGCATCACAGCACAGTGGAAAGAGCTATGACTTTACTTTGGATGGTTTTGTGCTTGAATACTGACTCTGTCACTGGTTGACGGTGGTGTTTCATGGCAGTTACACACAGACTCAGGAATAAGTTTAACTTTGATTCAAATCCCAGTTTTCACTTAGCAGATTATGACTTCAAGGAAGTTAGTTAACCCTTCTGAATTCACTTTCCTCATCTGTGGAGTGAGAATTGTGTGCATCACACAGAATGGTTGTGGGGTATCAACAAAATGCTTAAAAGGATGCTAGTACAAGTGTCCAATATGTGTAACTACTGGTAGCTGGTGTTTTCTACCAATACAACTTGGTATTTCAAAATTTGTGGTACATCATTGATACCAGTACAGATAGGCTCTCATTAAAAATCCATTTATGAAAATCTGTCCCTGAGTGAATATTGCAATATATGTTGGTGGAATAAGACTTATTTGGGGGACATAACTGATTTCAGAAGCCCTATGCATTTGTGACTGCAGTTTTAAAATGTTATTAACATGTGGCTTTATGATACTTATTTGCAGTAGCTTTGCATACAGATTTTTCTTGAAATAGCTTAATAGCCTTAGTGTTTAGAGCATTATTATTGCTCACAGAGAAAATAATTTAGAGGAACCTACACCAAGCTGAGAACAATGGTGGAACTGTGTTTGACTAGTCACCTTTCATTTCTACTTTTTTTGCATTGTGTTTGCTTCTTTCATAAAAAAAAAAAAAATGTATACTTACATTAAGATGTCTATATATTCCAGGAGTACAAAGAAGCCAGCCACATTTGGGATGTTAAAGTATCAGTATTGATTCCTTACCCTCTCTTTTCCTCAGGGCAAACAGATTTATGGAGAAACTCAGCTGCAAGGCCCAGCAGAAGTACAGCCCAGTTGACAACCTGAAAGGGAAATGGCAGCAGTGGGCCGATGAGCACATCCAATCTCAGAAGCTCAATCCTTTCAGTGAGGAGTTTGATTATCAGCTGGCCATGGCCACCCGCCTCCACAAAGGAGATGAGGGCTACGGCCGTCCTAAGGAGGGGACCAAAACTGCAGAAAGGGCCAAGCGAGCCGAGGAGCACATCTACAGAGAAATCATGGACTTGTGCTTCGTCATCCGTACAATGGCTCGCCACAGACGCAACGGCAAGATCCAGGTTACTTTCGGTGACCTCTTTGACAGATATGTTCGTATTTCAGATAAAGTCGTGGGCATTCTCATACGTGCCAGGAAACACGGGCTGGTTGACTTTGAAGGAGAGATGTTGTGGCAAGGCCGAGACGACGATGTTGTGATTACTCTGCTTGAGTGAGCCTTCAATAAAGAAGGTCACATTCGGTCCACTATTGTCTTGATATGAAATGTTCATGTAGTAGAAATTAAAGTGCAAACTTCTTTGTAATAAATTATTAAACAATTTTGACATATATAACTTTTCGGGACTCTTTATGAGGGCATTTGATGATTTCGAGAAAGCATAAGACATTTTAGAAAGCACATTGTGTAATTAGTATGTACTAGTAAATATTTGAAATTCCACTTATCTTTTAAGCAAATATATTTGGTGATTCATTACAGATATTTAATATTATATCTAAGAAGAGTGCTGACTTCAACAGCAGCAAAATATTTCATTTACAAAAAAGATTCCATTAACTTTGATAAAAATAAACAATATTTTCTAAGATGCTTGACTTTGTTGTATTATTTTCATGATAGCATCACTTATAAAATAGGCACATTAATAAAATGTTTTCAAATAAGATGTTCAAATTGTTGAAATTCCTCACTGTCACCTTAGTTATGGAATTTAATGGGTTTCCAGTAGGAGTGAGCCTTCCTCTTCCTGCATGATTTAAGCAAATCACATAAACACAGACATTTCCAGTGGGCGTAGAGCTGAAAGGGAAAGCAGTTATGTTCACCTTCACTATGAGAGTAGAAGTGAGAATTGAGATATACTTTCCTTTGTAGGACTTCTTGGAGAAGTTTATTTTTTCTCAAAACTGCAATGAGTCATGCTATTTACTCTTAGGTCAATGTACAATGAAGTAGACCTAGAAAATTCTACAATGAAGTAGAATGGTCATTGGCAAGTTAGACACAGGTATCAAATATTCTGATTTTCCTCATGCTGTAACAAATTTTATGAAAATCTTAAAGCCGTAAAACAGCAATATAAGTCCTACTAAAGTGAAAAACTATAATATGACTATGAGGAAGATGACACTACTGTTAATTTTCTTTCTTTTTTTAAAAAAGATTTATTTATTTATGCATACAAGAACTGGGGTATAGGCTAGATGTGCAGGAGGGTGAGAGGATTCACCAGAGACAGAGAGGGGAGCAGAACAGGCAGACTGACGAAATACACCACTGAGGGGAGCAGTGGGCAAGACAGAAGTGGTCTGCCATGCCATGTGGGTCACTCCCTAGCTGTCTGGGGTATCGAACCCATGCTACAGAGGCTGCAGATAGCTTCACAGCACTGTGCTCAACCCACTGTGCCACGGGGGAGGCCCCCTTGTAGGTATTTCTATAATTACAAATACTTGCAATAGGTTTGCATGAAATAGAGTATCAATAGCACTGTACAGTTGGCTTCCAGATCTTCTGGATTCTCATTTTCCAGTTTGATGTTTAAAAGTTTTTTGACTGTTGAAATGTACTTTTTTTTTCCCACCACTTCTGTCTGGATCTCCATTCAAATGTTTGATGACTCTCAATTTTTTTTTTTTTTTTTTTTTTTGTGGGAACCTCGCCAGCAGCCGGGGAACGAACCAGTGCTGCAGAGGCTGCGGGCAGCCTCGCAGCCCAGTGCTCAACCCCTGAGCCACCAGGGGAGGCCCAATGACTCTCAATTTTTATAACCCAAAGTTATATGGCTTCCTTCTTCCTTGTTCCCAAGTTCACTTTCTTATCACTCTCCTCACTTACACTAACAGGAGGAAGTTCTGGGCTTGAGGTTTCTCCCACTCTGTGGTAGAAAATGAGGCTGCCCCTATAGTCTTTGCATTCTGCTTTCCCCTTCCCTTCCCAAACTTCAGTTCCTTTTTTTTTTCTAATATATAGGAATATTCCTGTGTAAACTAGATTTCGGTGTAACTCACGCTCAGGGAAGGATTATTGTACTTTCTTTATCAAGTGACTCCGTACAGGTATCATAAAAGGAACAGGAGACCCATCTGTTCCATGCTGAAGTGGCCTCTTAGTGCAGTACCCCCTAAGGTTCCTACATTTGTTTTTATCCTCAGTGCCTAAGATACACAGTCAATGTCTATTGGTTTCATTTACAAATGCTCTGTATGAACTAATCTCAGTGCACAGGTTTCAGAGTACTCTGGTGCACTATAGTCCCAGGAAGTGATAAGTGATTACATTGTATGCCCATACTTTAGGGGCATACCAATATCTAACAAAATTACATTGCATTTATTTATTGACAATAAATTCCACTTCTAACATTTCCCTTGGAGACACACATATATAAATTCATTGTGCATTATTTTTAATTGTAAAATACTGCAAAGAACCCAATATATAAAGGAAAATGTTTGACTAATATGTTTCAACTATAAAATGGATGTAGCCATAAAAAAAAGGTAAATATAGAGTTTGAGTTTGTATACACACATTGGATTTTATACATACAGACACACTGGATTATAAATGTGTATATAGGGGCCTCCCTGTGGCACAGCGGTTGAGCGCTGGGTTGCGAAGCTGCCCGCAGCCTCTGCAGTGCTGGTTCGATCCCCGGCTGCTCCCCAGCCACTGGAGGAGGGTCCCACATGGCGCGCAGACCTCTCCTGCCGCCCACTGCTCCCCTCAGCGGTGTACTTCGGTCCTTCTGCCTGCTCTGCTCCCCGCTCTGGCTCTGGTGAATTCTCTCACCCTCCCGCGCCTCTGATTGTACCCAGTGTTTGTATAAATAAAAATTAAAAACAAAAGTGTATATACTTATATACAAAATAAACATTTTGAAAATAGAGGATAACAAGGGGATCCACTGATGGGTATAAATCATTAAGAGACAAAAGGTACACATTTGAGAGTAAATCTGTATAGATTTTTGACTTTTGAATTCCTTTAAGTATCTTATGTATACAAATAATGAGGACAAGAAAAACACTGTAAGTGAATACAAACAAATGAATCTAATTCTCTTTCAAATGATTCAAACCACCACATAGGAGGAAATGTACTTAACTTTTTGTCAATACTTTGATTAAATAATACTGGAAGTAGCTGTCTAAAGATAAAAAAACCGCAAAGAAGTATTAAGCTCCAATTTTGTCTGTATGTATGCAGCAATTCTGAAACTATAATGTATTGTGAAATTAAATGAATGACTAAAGCTATAAATGCCCTTATTATAGGAGAAAAGAAATTCTGTACAGAATGAGAGAAGACAAGAATCTGGTAATATTAGATTGTAACTAGTCATATCAGTATGAATTCATGATGTATTTCCTGGTCTCCTGAAAGGTCATAGAAGCAAACCACTTTAATACAAGCATATTTAGCACCCAGGTCTCTAAATATTGTTTTCCTTAAAAGGGAACATGTCTACTTGAAACAACTGACTATAGGACTGGTTACAAAAAGTACAGGTAAGTATGGAATGTCTTGTTGCAGCAGAAATCAAGTATACAGGCCTCCCTGGTGGCACAGCTGTGAAGCTGTCCACAGCCTCCGGTGCGGGTTCGATTCCTGGCCAGCTGGGGAGATTACCCACATGGAGCGCTAGACCTCTCCTGTCTTGCCCGCTGCTCCCCTCAGCAGTGTATTTCAGTCAATCTGTCTGTTCTGTTCCCCACTCTGTCTCTGGTGAATCCTCTCACCCTCCTGCACATCTGGCCTGTGCCCCGGTTCTTGTATGCCTGAATAGATAAATCTTTAAGAAAAAAAGAAAAAGAAAAGAAAAATCAAGTGTACAAAGAAACGGGGAAATGTACAGCAGTTAGCTTGATGAAGTTTGCACACGTTAAATCTAGGCCAGAAATGGAAAACATGACATTTTGAAAACAAACAAACAGAAAAGAATCCATCAGTCCACAACGATAAAACATATTCTTAAATTACAAAGGTCTTCCATATAGTAAATGTCAACTAATAAAAATGCCAGAAATGAGTATTAGAAAAACTGTAATTATGCGATTATTTTACAAATTCAGTATACCAATGAACATTATGAGCATACCTATGATATCCAAAGCATCTCCCTACAAGAAGGGAAAAATGAGAGTAAACAGTGCATACTATTTTAATCAACTCAAGTATTATCACAAATAAGGATTATCACATGAGGTATGTTTATCCTAATGATTATGTGCATTCTAATGAAAAATCACTTGTGATTTTCCTGCCAAAAATGTATAATCCGATTTTAAACATAAGAAAAAGTAAGACATTCACATTGAAGGACATTCTGCCACCCTGACCTCTTCAAACTTACCACTTTCATGAAACATAAGGACTAATAAACTCTTACAAGAAGATCGAATAGAACCATCAAATGCAATGCAGAATCCTAGAGTGGCTCATGGATCAGGAAAAACAATGCTTTAAAGAATACTATGAGAACAGATAAAAATTTGAAATAGATTGAATATTAAATCATATTATTATATTATATTAAATTTCCAGAATTGTTGATTGTACTGTGGTTATACTAAGGATAGTCTTAGGAAATATATGCATGTCCTTATTTGTAAAGGGTAACAGAACTTAGTCAGTAGAATAATAGGTGAGTGATTGCATGGTGGGAGCAGGAAGATGGTGGGGAGAGGAAAAAGCAAGCAAATAGTTCTTTTGTAAACATTCTAGTACACAGTTCTATGTAAACAAAAATACATGCATTACTGTTGGGTACACATCCAGGAGTTAAATTTGCTGGTCAATGCTTACCTTTAGCAGATCCTGCCAACAGTCTTCCGAAGTTGTTTCTCTTCACGTTCTCCTTTTATAGTGTTTGAATATTTTAATACTCTTTAGGGACTGTTTTTCTTCTATTGAACTTTTTGGATTTGTACTCAATTATATATTGTATATATGTGAACATCATATCTGTCATATAAACTTTCCACTCTGCTGGTTGTCTTTTCCACATTTTGGTGAAAAGCTCTTACAATCTTAATGAACTAACATCTTTTTCCCTTATGATGTTTCTTGTTTAACAAAAACATTTAAGAAACATATCTATCTAAAGCCATGAAGATAATCTCAAAATTTAAAAACTAATGGCTTTTTTGTTTTGCCTTTCACATTTAGATCTGTAACTTTTTTGTATGTGGTGTGAGATGGGTCAAAAGTTCTTCTTTCATACAGATTATCTAATTAATCAAAGACTACAGATTGAACAAATCATCCTCTCTACTGAGCAGCAATGTCATCTTAATTAAAACAACAGCAACAAAACAACCAAGAGTTCATTTCTGGATGCTTGATTTGGATACATTCCTTTGTACATCCTTTTACCAATACCACATTATCTTACTCAGTTTTTTAATTGATAACACTATCTGGTATGTAAGGTTATAGTCTCTTTCTTTAGTGCCCTCTACTGTTTACCTTTATATTCCCATGAAAATTATAGATCAGCTTAATTTCCATGAAAATAAACCTGAGATTTTGCTGCCAATACAGAATT